TTTTTTGTCGTCGTATCAATTATTGTCTCCTAATGTCATGTCTAGAAGATCGTGTGAATTAGTGCAATTCAACATTTATAGACAATCCTACACTAATTTCTTTCTTCATATAATAAATATAGATTTTAACATTTTAAATCAAAATCTTATCTTCCATTTATTATTATTTTTTTTAAAACGTTTCAATTATTCATTTTATTCTTAAATCTACGTAATGATTAAGATATAAAAATGCAAACTTGTTCTCTGAAGGAACTGGATGATGAACCAGAGACCTCACTGTGAGTAAATCATTGTTCTCACTCTTTCGGAGCGATTCATCCTTCCCAAACGTAGCACACAACTCTCCATAGTTATGCGCTCTCCAAGGGTGTTTGTTTCCCCTTTCTTCGTTACCGTGGCAAGTTTTTGTGAAATAATTGGGTTGAGAAGAAGAAGAATTAACCTACTAAATTAAGGATGCTACGAGAGTCCTTACTACTGAGTATTTTTTTTTTTTATCAGTGAGTGATGCTACTTGTCGAGGTGGTAGAGTGCATGGGAGCGTATCGGTGAGTGATGCTACTTGTTGAGGTGGTAGAGTGCACGGGAGCTACGCTATCACATAGGGGTGTCGACCGAGGGATCGGTAGAGTGCATGGGAGCTACGCTGTCATATAGGGGTGTTGACCAAGGGATCGTTTAGTATGTATTTTACATAACCTGTTTTGTAATATTTTCGTTTAGGATTTTGATTATCGTGAAAATTTACGTGGTTATTGTTATTTTGTCTTTTTAATCACGTTAAAGGAGAATTAAACCACTTACCTTAAATGCCTCTAAAAACGTAGACTTCCCTAGTAAAGACAATTAAGAAAGTCTATCAAGCCCAGGCCCAATAGTAGTGTGATAGTATCACCAAAGTCTCCGCCCCATATATCATTGATTACGCCCTTAAACGCTAACAACGTCCAAGGTGGATAGTGTAGCTCGACGAGGCTACCATTGAGTTGGTCCAAGGTGGATAGTGTAGCTCGACGAGGCTACCATTGAGTTGGTCCAAGGTGGATAGTGTGGCTCGACGAGGCTACCATTGAGTTGGTCCAAGGTGGATAGTGTAGCTCGACGAGGCTACCATTGAGTTGGTCCAAGGTGGATAGTGTGGCTCGACGAGGCTACCATTGAGTTGGTCCAAGGTGGATAGTGTGGCTCGACGAGGCTACCATTGAGTTGGTCCAAGGTGGATAGTGTAGCTCGACGAGGCTACCATTGAGTTGGTCCAAGGTGGATAGTGTGGCTCGACGAGGCTACCATTGAGTTGGTCCAAGGTGGATAGTGTAGCTCGACGAGGCTACCATTGAGTTGGTCCAAGGTGGATAGTGTAGCTCGACGAGGCTACCATTGAGTTGGTCCAAGGTGGATAGTGTCGCACGTCAAGGCTACCATTGAGTTGGACCTAATGAGACCTAATGTGGATAGTGTCGCGCGTCAAGGCTACCATTGAGTTGGACCTAATGAGACCTAATGTGGATAGTGTCGCGCGTCAAGGCTACCATTGAGTTGGACCTAATGAGACCTAATGTGGATAGTGTCGGTCGAAGCTAGGTAAAAATACTACCATGTGCCTATAAGGTAAAGGAAGAGGAGGGTCTCTCCTCTACACCGCGTAGACCCGTCTCGGAAGAGGAGGGTCTCTCCTCTACACCGCGTAGACCCGTCTCGGAAGAGGAGGGTCTCTCCTCTACACCGCGTAGACCCGTCTCGGAAGAGGAGGGTCTCTCCTCTACACCGCGTAGACCCGTCTCGGAAGAGGAGGGTCTCTCCTCTACACCGCGTAGACCCGTCTCGGAAGAGGAGGGTCTCTCCTCTACACCGCGTAGACCCGTCTCGGAAGAGGAGGGTCTCTCCTCTACACCGCGTAGACCCGTCTCGGAAGAGGAGGGTCTCTCCTCTACACCGCGTAGACCCGTCTCGGAAGAGGAGGGTCTCTCCTCTACACCGCGTAGACCCGTCTCGGAAGAGGAGGGTCTCTCCTCTACACCGCGTAGACCCGTCTCGGAAGAGGAGGGTCTCTCCTCTACACCGCGTAGACCCGTCTCGGAAGAGGAGGGTCTCTCCTCTACACCGCGTAGACCCGTCTCGGAAGAGGAGGGTCTCTCCTCTACACCGCGTAGACCCGTCTCGGAAGAGGAGGGTCTCTCCTCTACACCGCGTAGACCCGTCTCGGAAGAGGAGGGTCTCTCCTCTACACCGCGTAGACCCGTCTCGGAAGAGGAGGGTCTCTCCTCTACACCGCGTAGACCCGTCTCGGAAGAGGAGGGTCTCTCCTCTACACCGCGTAGACCCGTCTCGGAAGAGGAGGGTCTCTCCTCTACACCGCGTAGACCCGTCTCGGAAGAGGAGGGTCTCTCCTCTACACCGCGTAGACCCGTCTCGGAAGAGGAGGGTCTCTCCTCTACACCGCGTAGACCCGTCTCGGAAGAGGAGGGTCTCTCCTCTACACCGCGTAGACCCGTCTCGGAAGAGGAGGGTCTCTCCTCTACACCGCGTAGACCCGTCTCGGAAGAGGAGGGTCTCTCCTCTACACCGCGTAGACCCGTCTCGGAAGAGGAGGGTCTCTCCTCTACACCGCGTAGACCCGTCTCGGAAGAGGAGGGTCTCTCCTCTACACCGCGTAGACCCGTCTCGGAAGAGGAGGGTCTCTCCTCTACACCGCGTAGACCCGTCTCGGAAGAGGAGGGTCTCTCCTCTACACCGCGTAGACCCGTCTCGGAAGAGGAGGGTCTCTCCTCTACACCGCGTAGACCCGTCTCGGAAGAGGAGGGTCTCTCCTCTACACCGCGTAGACCCGTCTCGGAAGAGGAGGGTCTCTCCTCTACACCGCGTAGACCCGTCTCGGAAGAGGAGGGTCTCTCCTCTACACCGCGTAGACCCGTCTCGGAAGAGGAGGGTCTCTCCTCTACACCGCGTAGACCCGTCTCGGAAGAGGAGGGTCTCTCCTCTACACCGCGTAGACCCGTCTTGGAAGAGGGCATAAGAACAAGCTTAGTAGCCTCCAAAATCAAGTTGTAACAGAAATCAAATCTCAGTCAAATTCATATCACCATAAATATAAAACATGCTTGCTTATTTACTCCTTTTCTTTTTCCATACACGAGAATTAAGATGAAATGAGAAAGTACAAGATCCGGAGAAATTAAACACATCAAATTCAAACACACACTGAAGTCAGAGAGATGATCGCGAAATTTTCCTTTCTTTTACGGGAAAATTTGCAGAGATATGGAAGAACAATCGCTATGAAATGGTATTTTCATATAGAATCTGAAATTTGATCTCTCTGAGAGGGGCTTCTCCAGAAACCAGTACCGTAAAAAGTCTCCCACATCTCTGTTTCCAGTTCCATAACTTTCCTTTCCGTTTCGTCCGATTTTTTACCTTTCAGTTCCGATGCGTGCATCGCTTTTCCGCCGGTAAGAATCTGAAGATCCGCCTCGTCGTAACTGCAGGCGGAGCACCGCCCGCGCCTCGACGGAAGAGTTCCCTTCCTTAGACTATGCCGGCGCCTCGTCCTTAAAGCGCGGCGGCAGAGCCCGGCCGGAACCTTGTAAATGGCGAGGACGAGGAAGTGGAGGACAAAGCAAGGACAACAACAGCACACAGCAGCGCACTCGGCGGTTGTGCCGCCAGCAACCTCCGCGAACCGGAGGCTTCCAGGTATGGATTTGCTCCGTAACAGTGGTTGCTCACGTTTCGACAATGGCGGACGGAACATAACCTTATTCGACATTGCCGATTATTCCGCTAGGTTTAGCCACAAATATCGTTGATATTAATCGAAACCTCCTTTCTATCTTCCTCCTGTTTTTCTCGACGGAAAATCACCAAGAAAAACCAGAAATCGAAAAAGAAAATCGCTAACTCCTGTCACAGAACCTCGACTTCCTCCATCAGAAACATTCTCTGTGGGAGAAGGAATCGAGCAGATCACACCAAAAAAAAAAAAAAAAAAAAAAAAAAAAAAAAAAAAAAAAAAAAAAAAAAAAAAA